GCCTGTCTGAAGAGGCCTGTTCCCGGGTTCTCTCTGGTGGTGTAGGGGTTAAGTCTCAGCACTATCATGCTGTTGCCACTGCAGCATGAGTTCCATCCCCAGCCAGGGAGCTGACCCACAGGGCGCAGCAGACCTCTCCTGCCTCGCCCACTTGTTCCCCCTCAGAGGTATATTTCAGTAGATCCACCTGTTCTGCTCCCCACTCTGTCTCTGGTGAATCCTCACCCCCGCACCTCTGGCCTGCACCTCAGCTCTTGTATATATAAGAAAATAAATAAAACTTAAAACAAAATTTTTAAAAAAGAGTCTGATCCCTGGTCCAGATGGCCTGTCTGCTCCCTGCCCCCTTGACCTTGACCGCGCTGCCAAGTCTCACCCTTTGCTGATGACAACATTGCTAAGCCTCACCCAAAGACCAGGAGGAGATTACAGATGAAAAAGGCCACTCTGAGGACTGGTTCCCACCTCCCTGGCCCTTTGTCCATTGTCTCACCCGCTCCAACTACTGTGGACAGCTCTTGCTTTGGAGGGAGAGTTCAGTGTGGCCCTGGATTGGGCTTGAGCCTGGGTTCTAGGCTCACAGTGGCAGTTTGGGGGTTGGCAGGCACAGGTTTGTGAAGCTTTGTCCCTCCTAGTGACAGAATCATGTTTCTAAGCCTGTTCAACACCCCACCACCACCAATTCACAGACACTACCTTCTGGGTGTCGACCTCACTGAGTCATAATTTCCATATATCCCTTAGCTACTTGGGTGGGTTCAAAACCATAATCAAGATGTTACAAGGCAGGATGCAGGGCACCCAGGGACCCCCAAATCTGCCTACTTGAAATAGCTTCTGCCATCAGTACAAAACATACTCTAGTGCATAAAATCTTTAGTAAAAGGGAACTTTTTTTAAAAAAAGATTTATTTATATATGCATACAAGAACTGGGGTGTAAGCCAGAGGTGTGGGGGGTGAGAGGATTCACCAGAGACAGGAGCAGAACAGGCAGATTGACTGAAATACACTGCTGTGGGGAGCAGCGGGGAGACAGGAGAGACAGGATGTGGGTTGCTCCCTGGCTGGCTGGGGACTGCTGCAGTGGCTGGTGATAGCTCAATACCTCTGTCTTTAACTCCTGCACCACCAGGGAGGCCCCAGAAAGGAACTTTAATACAATTAATATGCAGTAAAGAGAAAGAATGTAGTTCAAGATAGTTTCCAATTAAGCATCCAAAGTTAGCCATCCCCTCGGTAAATGCCCAGCCAAACAGGGTTGGTCCAAAGCAGGGTCACTGAGGCTTGAAAGCTGCCACATGTCTAAGACACCTTCTGGTGAGGACCCATAGGAAAGGGGCAGAAGGAGCCAGGCAAGTCTGCAAGGAAAAGAGCAAAATCAAAACCCAAGTCAAGATAAAGATAGCCATTGTCAACCTCCCCATAGGTGTCTCATCCATGTCTCTGTGTCTTTCAAGTGTTTCCTTCCATGTTCCCCAAGTCCCTGGTACGAGTCCAAGGCTGAGAAGCAAGTGCAGCTGCTTTACATGTCTCTGCTCCATCTCTCCCCTTTCCCTGCTCAGCTCCACCCTTCTTTGGGGTGGGGCAGGAAACCTGGAACCTCCCCTTTCCGTGGGAACCACCTCCTTACAGACACTTGATGTCTCCCCCTTCCCAATTTCCTCATGCCCCTTTGAACCCCCGCTCCTCCACCCCAGTCCCAGGCAACCACTGAGTTGCTTTTGATCATGATGATTCATAGAGTCCCTTCTAGAATGTCATGGTCACAAAGGACACAGTAGGTCGCTTTTTGCGTCCCACCTCTTTTATGTAGCCTGATGCTTTTGAGATTTAGTCATGCTTTTGCGTGTGTAAGTAGCTCAGTTTTTTCTTCTTAATCACAGAGTATTCCATTGTCTGGATGCACCACCATTTATTTATCCATTCACCTGTCCTTGGATGCCAGGTGGTTGGTTTCCAGCTTGGCGCTATTGTATGTGGATAAGAATTGACATGCAAGCCTTTGCCTGCTGAAGTTTCTGATGTCCTGGGGGTGATATGCAAATGAGTTGCTGCTTGGTATAGCAATCAGTCAGTCCAACAGTACCTAGGACAGGGAGCACCTTCCTTCCCACTTTGTCCAGGGTTTGCTCCTGGGGCTGCTGGGTCTGGGGCAGATCAGGAGAGTAGGTACAGGAGGCTCCTGGCAGTCCCCTTATCAGTGGATCCTAATCCATTTAATGCTTTCTTGCTGACATGGCCAGACTGGCCACACTGCTGCCTGTGCTTGCTTATCAGCTCTGGGAAATTCCGTGTGGAAATGAAGTTCAGGGATAGGACAACCCACCTGCCTAAGATTTGGGAAATAATCTCTATTGCCATGACTATAAGCAAAAAGGAGAAATAAAAGGATAGTGAGCCTTATTATGCATTTCATTATGCCCTGAGAGGGCCACCTCCCCAGGCCTTAGGGAGAAGGTCAGATGCTCACACCTACAAGAGACAGACTCAGAATGGGTGTCTAATTACCTTGTAGAAAGGGATTTTCTGAAATTGTTGACAATCCTTGGCCAAGTTACAAGTGAAAACAGACTACAAGCCTCCCTCATTTTACTTCCTGGAAAATTCAGAACTTGTTAGGACCTTGCAAGAAGGACTTTGTGTGTGCGTGAGAGTTAGGTTCTGGGCTCAGATCATTCTTAACTTTTTCACCTCCAAGTAAGGCTAAAATGTAGATGGTATGCACTAGTGTGGGTGGGCTGGTTGTTAGCATATCAAAATACTACTTTTTTTTTTTTTTTTTTTTTTTTTTTTAGAAATACTTCTGTTTTGACTGCTTAGTAATGTGGGAGTACAGCAAGTCCTGGAATTCCTTCGTCTTGTCCAATGGCATTTCGTGGATGAGAAAAACAACCCCCAGCAGACATTGAAAATGATGTTATTTGAGGAGCTGATTTTGTTCACTTAAAATCAGTCTCCAGGGCCTCCCCTGGTGGCGCAGCGGTTGAGCGCTGGGCTGCGAAGCTGCCTGCAGCCTCTGCAGCACCAGTTCGATCCCCCGCCAACGGCGAGGGTCCCACATGGCGCACGGACCTCTCTTGTCGCACCCTCTTCTCCCCTCAGCAGTGTATTTCGTCAGTCTGCCTGTTCTGTTCCCTGCTCTGGCTCTGGTGAATTCCCTCCTGAGCTTCTGACTGTATCCAGAGCTTGTATTAATAAATAAATCTTTTAAAACAAATCATTTTCCAAGGACCTATTGACATTAAGTAAGGACTGTTATCAAGAAATCAGTAAAATTCAGCAATAGGTGTTCTAGCATTAAACTTATTAGTGCTAATGAATTGTGAAGGCCTTTCTGTCATTTCATTATTTAGATGACAACGGATATTCAATATACAATATTGATATATTGTATATATATTGATATATACAATATATATACAGGCTGGACTATAAGGACTAGAAAAGGTTTTAATGTAATCACTGGGAGTTCAGAACAGAGAGGATTAAACTCCAAAATACTATAGTTGATGTGAAGTCACTTAAGGATCCTCTATGAATGAGAAGTTGCTAGAAGCATTTGCTGTGGTTCCTTTATCAAATCAGAGCCAAGGCAGGGATATATATGTATATATGTTCCTATAATTGTGACAATCAAGAATCACACCAACAATTTCTGAATAAAACAAAATCATTAGACTATGAGAATGATTTGAGCTTGGCAAACAATTTGGACAAATATATAGAGAGAGCATTTTAATTAGAGAATCAAAGAGATTTAAATTCTTTTATTTAAAAATTTTGATGCATACATTGATTAATATATTAATTTATATTACTGTTATAGTTGCAAAATATTTTGAACACCACCCATCCCTTGTGAATGTCAAGTGAGACCTTTTCAAACTGGGACAAGGGCCAATGCTTTGTGTGGTGCCCTGCATGTTCTAAGATCATTCTACCCCTGGGTCATGCCTTCCCAGAGCCAAGAGCATGTCCCATCACAGCTGTAACCCAAATCATCCCTGTATGCTTCTAGAATGTTCCATGGGAACTCAACAGCCTCCTTGGGAGCCAGTTGCGGGTTCAGTAATTTAAAGCAGAGGCTGGGTTATAAGAAGTCATACTCTAGATGTCTAAGCCTCAGGGGATTGGACCAAATTTCTCTCTCCCCTTGCTGGTCTGTGAGGATGCCTCCTCTTCAAGTGTTTTAAGCTTTTCCAATATCATCATCTCCCACCACCCGCCCCAATCCATAGGTTCAGAGAGGCATCTACTTGCCTAAGATCACAAAGAAATTGGCCAAGCCAGGAGCAGACCCGGCCCTGACTTGGGACCCTTTTCCCAGGTGAGGTGGGTGTGCGTACCCCCATTTCCCAGGTGGAGAGAGCAGAGTCCGGGCAGGAAGCCCAAATTCATCAAGGAAGTGGTAGCCCTGGGTTTGAGCCTGTGCTTTTTTTTTTTTAAAACCCATGGTCTCAAGAGCCAGGTGCACACATTTGGGGGGTGGTGTAGGGGGGAGCAAGTCATTGGGATAAGGCAGGTAAACAAAAACCTCTGTAAGATTCAAACCGAATAAGTTAAGCCTCATTACTAATATACAGATGGCAGTAGTACCTGTACGTAACTTATAAATAAGGACACACATAGCGAAGTTCATGCCCAAACAGCTATTTGCCTCACTCCCACCCACTCACTCACTGGTGGGTGCCTGATCCTGCAGGGAAGGTGGTTGCAGCTTAGTGAGGCATCCCAAAGCCCCCTCAGAAGCTCTGACCAGAAGGGCTAGCCAACAGCCACTTCCTAAGCTGTCTGACCCCAGGCAGGTGACTTTCCCTGTTTCCTCATCTGTACACTGGAAATCACAGCACCTTTCACCTGGGAGGGTGGGCTGAGAGAGAACTCAGCTAATTGTTGTAGGATCCCGAGGATGATGCCTGTGCACAGCCGGTGCTTGGCAAGTGTGAGCTGTGACCAGGGCTCCCTGCCCTGAGCACCAGTCCCCCCGCCCCCCCCCGCCCCGCCCTGCAAGGCAGAGAACTAAAATGAGGTAACAGTTCAAAAGGAGAGGTGCCAGGTGCAGACCTAGTTATTAACCACAGCATGCTCCTCACAGGGGGCTCCCCAGGAGGGGAGTAGCTTTGTAGAAGTAGAGGAGATGGTTATCTTGTCCTGACAGGAACAGGGGCTCAGAGAGGAGACCCAAAAGCCCTAGAACAGGTCCTGGCCTTATTGTTGCCTGGACCCGCACAGCGGGACAAGGGCGCCCTCTAGTGGCAGAAGCAACCCCAGCAGCCAAGTGAGCCAAGACCGGGCTCTTGAGGTGCTAGGCCCGGAGGGGGGCGCTCCTGAATCCTGGAAGACACCGAGGCAAGGAAGCCTGCACACAGCCTCAGACCACTAGCAAGTGGTGGGGCCAGGATTTGCATCGCGGCAGTCTGGCCCCTGAAACTGTTACAGGACAAACCCGTATATAAAATGGGGTTGCTCAGGACATCCCTTCCCCCTAACAAACCCAGTATCTCTCTTCCAAAACTCTGCCCCCATCTGGAGCCCAGGGTTCTTGGAAAACTTGGGGAACCACAAGTCTTGATGGCGTTGGGTACTGTAGGGCGGCTTGGCATTCCTGGTCCATCCACTAATGGCCAGCGGCACCCTCAATTACTGGGAGGCCCCAGGATATGCTCCAAGCATCCATCGCACCCGGTGGGCAGGACCAGGAGAAGCTGGAGGTCGCTTCAGAGCCTTGGTTCTCTCCTCCCGCCAGAAGCACACTTCTCTAAAATGTCTCTTTGGTCAGTTCCTCTCTGTCTCCACCACACAACCCCCCCGCCAACACACAGACCCCAAAAGACAACGGTTAGCTCCCCTTGACCACTGTTCCCTGGCCCCAGATATGGGCGTCCCGGCTTCAACCGCTTCCTGCCAAACTCAGGAGAGCGGGGTTGGGGTACTCGGGATTCTCGATGACCCCGGGGCCGAATTTGAGCTCGAGGAAGCGGCGGTAGTTGTTAGGCGCCTGCGCCACGAAACCAGCGAAGGGCAGAGGCACGAGAGGCTGCAGGAAGTGTTCGGGGAACTCGACATCCTGCCGGTGGTCCAGCCACGTGTCCTTGGTCATGACCCCGTTGCGCGGGTAGAAGGGCCACAGGTCCACGTGCAGGTGGTTGCTCTCGCTGTACTGCACGCGGAAGAAATCGCCCTCCACGGCCTTCTCCCACACGAAGCCGCGCTCGTCCACCACGGAGCCGGCCTCGGCTCCCCGCAGCTGCTCGCAGTTGCCCACGTCCTCCAGGTAGATGCCCAGGTCCACGTCGTAGTCCCACGGGATGATGTCCCCGTGGCGGGCCGCCCCCAGCAGGGAGCCACCCTCCAGCCAGTAGCGCACCCCCGCCGCCTCCAGCACGCCCACCACGTAGCGCGCGGTCTCCCGCAGCGCGCGCAGGCAGCACGGGGGCGTCCAGCGCTGCTCGTACAGGTAGGCCGGGGTGTCACCCACCACCGTCCCGAAGCAGCGCGCGGTCTCCTTGCTGCAGCCGAACCACTCCAGCCGCCCGCCCTCCCAGCTCACCAGGCGGATGCCCAGCGCCCGGAGCATCGCCGCCCGCCGTGCGCGCCCCTCGCGCTCCGCCTTCCAGCGTGCATGGGCCGTGGTCAGCGGGGGCTGGTGGGCCGCGGCGAAGGGCAGGTCCAGCAGCTGCACCGCCCAGCCGCGAAGGGCGGTCTGCAGGAAGAGGCTGGTGCCCACCGGCCGGGCCAGGGGCGCCGAGAGGTTGAAGAGGTCCCGGGCGCGCAGGAGCACCACGGCGTCTCCTTCCAGAGCGTCGCAGCGGGGCGCGGAGGGTGCCGCGCCGTACCGGGCCGTCCACTCGCGGAGGCTGACGTTTAGGGCCAGACACCGCGCAGGGTTGGCCGAGGCCACCGGGGCTGCCACCAGGCGTGGGCCTCCCGCCCGGAGCACCTCCACCATGCGCTCCAGTTGGCCCGGGGCATCCACTCTCGCCCCGTCGGGCACTAGGGCCACGAACTCGGTGGTCACATAGGTCTCCGGGCGCGAGGCGGCGGCGGGCCGGTCTAGGGAGGGCTGGAGCAGCGCCAGACGAACGTTGGGGAGGCGGGGCAGGGCCAGGGGTGGGTAGGGGAGCGCATCGGCTGCCACCACCACCGGCTGGGCCGGGTCCTGCTGCAGGAAGGAGTCCACCAGCTCCGGCACTGCGTTATCAAAGGCCTCAAACTCTCGCACCAGGACGGTGACACGGGGGCCGGTGGCAGATCCGCGGCGCAGGCCCCGCGCCCGGGAGTTCTTGGGCTGGTGCTGCAGCCACGAGACATAGAAGAAAACCAGGAGGTTGAGGGTGATGGCGGCTACCAGGACAGCCTGGCAGCGAGTGAGCCGCATGGAGTCGAAGTCAGACCCTGGTAGGGCCTCCAGGGCATCCTGGGGATGGGGGAATGAAAGCAAAGGCTGGAACTGGTTATCAGAACAACCCCATCTATCATCAGTCTTGCCTTCTCTCCCAGCCCTTTGCCTGTTTGGTTTTGGCTGACTTCCCCCTCCTCCAGGAAGTCTTCCTGGACCTCCCAGATTGGGTTATGCACTTAGCTCTGGGCTCCTTCATCTCTGCTTACCCCTCCCCCTCCCACTGGATTGTGAGACCCATGAGGGCAGGCCCTGAGCCTGTCTAGATCTTGGGTCCCCAGGACCAGGCGATGTGCATATTAAGAGCTTGGTAAATTTTAATCAAATGAATCACCTTCCATCCTTGTGGAGTCCCACCCTTGTCCTAGTCTCTGTCCACTGCTCATTTAGGTTCAGGTTCAATTATAAATGCCCCCAACGCCATTGCTGAGCCCACAGTGCACCTTCTCTACCATTCCCTCCACCAGGAAGCCACCCCTGATCTTGTCCTCCCTTCCCTGGCACTGACTCTAGGGTGAAGCTGAAGCTGGCCCCCGGCCCTCCTGAGCAGCCTCCTTGCTCCAGTCTCTTTTGTCGTCTCCTTCCCGATGGTCAGCCAGGTCATTTTGGTTTGCAAGAAAAGCCGGAAATGTTTTCTTGAATCAAAGTTATCCCAATTTTTAATGTTGGCCACAACTTTTTTTAATTTCTAAATGCGGTGGCTCAAGCCATAGACAGGGAAAGCAGAATGGTGGTTGGCAGGGGCTGTGAGGAGGGGAAAATGGGGGACTGGGGTTTATGAGAAAGTTCAGGTTCATGAGAAAGTTCTTATAGATTGTTTGCATGACTGTGTGAACAAGCTTAATGCCACTGAACTACACACTTAAAAAATTTTTGTTGTGTGTATTTTATCACAATTAAATTTTTTTTTTCACCCTCCCCTTTTTGGCCAACCACCTAAGCAGCCCCCAGGTGGCGCTGTCTCCCTGTCCCCATCCCAACCGGAAGATTTGGCAGGTCTCCAGCATGGGAGGTGTAACTAACTCTGGCTTCTGAACAGATACTCAAAATAAAGTTCCCCACCAGGGATTTTCATAGCTGTCTGCCTCTCCCAGACAGGGGGACATCAGAGACCCAGTTAATCTTCCCAATTCTTAAATACTTCTGACCCTGTCTCCCCATTCCCACAGCTCCCCCTCAATCCCGGTTCACCCACGTCCCCATCCAGCCTCCCCCTGCAGCCAGTGCTGGGGTCTCCTGACCAAATGCCCTCCTCATAGCAGCCAGAGAGGGCTTCATAAAGCACACATCTGACCTCTCCCTTCATGCTCAGAACCTGCCATGGCTCCCTAGTGCCCTGGGGAGGAAGTTTCGATTTCTTACATCCCACAAGGCTTTGTGTGACTGGACTCTGGACCACCCACCAGTCCAACTCCAGCGCCTGCCTAAACCACCCAGGTCTTATTTCTAACCTTTGCACTTTCTGTTCCTTCTGTCTAGAACATCTTTTCCTCTCGAAACTTCCTTCTTCCCATACATCTTTTCTGGAGAATTACTGATGCCTCAGGTCTCAACTCACATGGCCCCCTCCTCCAGGAAGCCTTCCCTGAACCCAGGTTAGGACAAAAGTCTCCTTTTGGCTCTCCAAACCTCCAGGCATCCCCATCCCAGCCCTGCCCATTTTGGTTTGGCATTGTCTGGAACTGCATCTGTCTGCCCCGTTATATGACCATCCCCGGAAGGGGGCGGGGAGAGCCAGGCCTGTCTCACCACATGGCAGGGCAATGGAAGTGGAAACCAGTGAGGGCCAGAGCCAGCTTTCTGGGTGTTCACAAAGCCCACTCAGGCCCAGAAGCAGGACTCCACACTAGCACCACATGCCTGGAGTCCTGCCTGGGCCTCCCTGCCTCCTTTTTCTCCTGCCAGGAATGCCCACCCACCCTAGCACTGCTGGCCCTTCTCTGACTCCAGCTGGACGGCACCAAAGAATCTGAGTGGTGACATCTTCATCTTAAATCTGGTGATGGCTGCCTGACCCTCGGGTGGATCCCTGATCCCTTCTCTTTGTGGAAGTGCTACAGAGTGCCGGGCTCCGTTCTAGGCTCCAGGGACACAGCAGTGGACACTCAACACACTGGGTCAGTCAACACCCCCGATCTCATGGGGCTCCCACTAGGGCGGGGCAAGGGAGGCCTTTGGAACTATAAAATCTATAGGATCTTAAAGAACTTAGAATCTTAGGCTTAAGCACACAGAAGCACAGAGGTGACTAGTTGATGGGTTCAGAATCTTCTGAAGATTCTAAGAGACTGTCTTCCTCTCCACCCTCACCCCATACAGTCTGTTCATCTGTTCCCCCCTCTGCACCCAGAGGGATCCTGTTAAAATTCAAGTTTGATCATGTCCCATCTCTGTTCAAAACCCTTCCAGGGCTCACAACTCACTCAAAGGCAAAGCCAAAGTCATCCTGTGGCCCCAAAGGCCCCATGTGACTCCCTCCCTCTTTCCTGCTCACTCAACTCCGACCACACTGGCCACCAAATGCCATCAGCAGAGACCGGCGCCGGTGACCAAACTGCATTAAGTGATGATGACTCTGGCGTTGGCACGCTCCAGAAACAGCACTGACTCGTCCTCTGCCCGGTGCCTCCCTGACGGCTTTTAGGTCTTTGTTCACCTATCCACAGAGGCCTTTCTTCGGGCTCCCTGCTTAAAAATGGGACTCCTTGTCGCACGCGCACACGCCCTGGCCCAGCCCTGTGTTGTCTTCCTCCTCTACTACTTTTCCCCTAGCTCTCTTATATCTCTCGGTCATCTGCGCTGTTCCCTGCTCTGTGCCCGGAGCACAGCTCAGAGTAACTAGCACACAGCAGCTCTATATGGGTGCAGGGCCAGAGGCAACCAGCTTGTTAAGAGGGGGACCCTGGCTCAGGCAGAGGATGCAGGGTGCTCTACCTCTCAGGCCTTGGCTCTGGGACAGAAGGTGCTCAGCAGGAGAGAGGATAGACAGTGGGTCCTCAGAAACCAGCAGGTGTGATGGCCAGGTGAGGAGGTGCCCCTACTGGGCGAAAGGAATCATCTAGTGCCCTGTCAAGGTCCTTGGCTTCTGCCACTGCAGAAGGCTAAAGCCCCTCTCTCAGACAAGTGGAAGAAATGGTAGTTTAGAAGGTTGATGGAGTTTCTGAATCATGGTATTATGTCAATTCTGGCAGCTCATGATGCGCCAGATCCCGCTCCAAGCACTTTACAATTGTGTAATCTTCACGTTATGACCACACTTAAAGATGAGGAAACTGAGGTACAGAGCAGTGAAGGCACTCACTCAAGATCACACAGCTGGGAAGTGGTAGGCCCAGCAGCTGGTTAAATCAACACTCTGCTGTCTCTCTTTGGGCCTAACCTGACAGGTTACTTTCAAAGCTGGATCTAGCACATCCATTAATTCAACAAAGGCAGTTACTGCGTGCATTGTGCCAGGCCCTGTATTCTGGGGCTATGGGATGAATGGGCATTGGCGTGGCACTGGGCAGGCCCTCCAGAGGTGGGTGGCTGCAAACCATACACACACCTTACAGGTAAGGCATATGTAACCAGCAGGGGGCGTGTTACAGACAAAGGTAGGTGGTCAGGGAAGGAGAGGAAGTTAAATTCCAGCCTTCTTTGTCTCTGCTGTCCCAAAAAAACAATGTAAGTGGATCCCTAGTCACTTCTGGCCCGGGATCAGCTGGCCTGAGTTGTCATCTGCACTGAGGCCTCTGTTGCTGCATCTGTGGAATGGGGATGTGGCCCATGGAGAAAATGAGTTACATGTGGGGAAGGCCTTTGGGAATCAGGAAAGGGTGTTTCCATGTGAATGCGGTGACACAGAGGGACTTCTTACCTCCTAGGTAGCCGGCTGGGGGAGCTCTGTAGGGGCGGTTCCAGCACAGCCCAGCTGCACTGCTGAGGGAAGGAAAACCAGAAAATCCCAAATCAGCCAATTTTGCACAATAGAGCACAATGTCATCTTATCAACAAAAGTGGCAATGAAGTCAGAGAATCATTCTCTCGCTGTCCCAGAAGCTCAGGCACCACCTGGAGAGGGTGGGAAGGATGTCAGTTATACCCACCCAACCCTCTCTCTGTATCAATGTGTCCAGAAAGGTAGGTCGAGAAGTGACAGAAGCTGTTACCATGACAACCCCTTCCCTAGACACATTCCATCCTGAGACAATACTAAAACGTCCACTTCTTAGTGGGCCTGGTTCCTTGGTCACTGGAAGGGGGAACCCGCACATCACCATAGTAACCAGGACTTTAGCCTTGCCTATTTTTCACCTCCCTGGGGAGGGTCTAGGCCCTGTAACCATAGCAACTACTCAATAGCGCATCTCCTCTAAATAAAAACACCTGGTTGGTTTGGTCCATGGCCCTCCCACGATGGAAAAGGGGGAGATGGTTACCATGGTAATGCCAACTGGGTGGCTACGGGGGAGGGGTTTCCCTTAGCCATCCGTGTCCGTGTCCTTGGGGCTGGCCCCTTTCTACCTGAGCCCTAGGTGAGATTGCCATAGTAACAACGAGGGTAGGGGCAGAAGGACCACCAGGGATCTAGGTTACCTTGGCAACCTCCTCCAGGCGCAGGGACAGGAGAGTTTTGGGGCCTCATAACCACCAAGGTGGAGTGGAAGAGGAATTTAGGGGGGGGTTTCAGGTTGGGGGTTACCATGACGACCGACCGGTGCCAGGAATCAGGGAGAATGGGGGGCCATTGCTGAAATCACCCGCGGTGGCCGCCCTGTCTGTCAAAACGGGACAGTGACTGTCGAAGAGAGTGGTACTGGGGTGTGGAGCGGGTTACACTCTTTCTTTGGGGCGAAGCGGGAGCGGGGGGCGGAGAGCGGCCCCTTCCAAAGTCCCACTCTCCGACCCGGCGACCCCCGCGCCCGGGCCGGGGACGCGCGGGAGGTCCCCGCGGTGCGCGCCCCCGCCCCGCCCCGCCCCGCCGCGCCCCGCGCCGCCCCGCCGCCCCGCGCGCCGTCGGGGTCGACCCGGGTGGGCGAGGCGCGCGCCCGGCCTCGCTCCCGTCCCGCCCCCCGCGGCCCCCGCCGAGCGCGCGCGGGGGTTGGCGCGGCCGCGCAGGCGCGCGAGGCACAGCGGGCGCGCGGGCCGGCCCCGGGGCCTCCATGATGGAGGAGCGAGCGGCCGCCGCGGTCGCCGCCGCCGCCTCCTCCTGCCGCCCGCTCGGCTCCGGCGCGGGCCCCGGCCCGACGGGTGCGGCCCCGGCCCCTGCCCCGGCCCCTGGCCCCGGCCCGGCCGGGAAGGGAGGCGGCGGCGCGGGCAGCCCCGGGCCCACCGCGGGGCCGGAGCCCCTGAGCCTGCCCGGGATCCTCCACTTTATCCAGCACGAGTGGGCGCGCTTCGAGGCCGAGAAGGCCCGCTGGGAGGCCGAGCGCGCCGAGCTGCAGGTGAGCGCCGCCCGGGACCCCCGCCCCCCGCCCGGCCCGGCCCGGCCCGGCCCGGCCCGGCCCGGCCCGGCCTCACCCGCCGCCGCCGCCGCCGCCGCCATCTTGGAGCAATGGCCGCCGGGACGGCCGGGGGGGCGGGCGGGGACCGCACCGGCCGCGGCCCGGACTCGGGGGCCGCCCGGGGGGCCCTGAGGGCCTCCGAGCGGCTCGGGGCGGGGGCGCCGCCGGGGACCCGCGAGAGAAGGGGCGCGGGGGCCTGAGCCGGGGGGAAGTGAGAGCGGGAGCGAGCGCCGGGCCGAGGGGTTCCGCGACTGGGTTCCGCGGGTCACCCGAGGGAACTCGGCAGAGGGGGATGTGGCCCCTCGGAGGATGCCGCGGGGCTGGACACGCACACGGTGCCCAACCAGGCGCTGCTTGGAGGTGGAACCTGATGGGCTCGGGTGGGAAAGAGGGGGTGTCGTCGGGAGAGCAGGTCACGGGCCGAAGGGAACCAGCGGAGTCGGGAGAGGAAGTCAGGAACTCGGGAGGGGGTGTGTTTCGGAACGTGGGGGGCGGGGGACTGAAAGATAAAAGAGTGAGGACTCTGGCCATTAAGAGAAGGACCTCGAGAGGGTCCCGGGATGAAACTGGGCGCCGACCCATCTGAGGAGGAAACTTCGGGGAGCCTGGACAGGTGGCGGCAGAGTCCTGGGAGCCGTCCCAGGGGTGGAAGCATGGACAGGACAAGGCCATGCCCGTGTGGAAGAGCTTGAGAGAGACAACTCCAGTTTGAGGGTGTGGGGGATTGGGGGTGATAGTCCTGAGCTGGGAGGTGTGTGTAGGATGTCAGGTCGCGAACTCTGGAGTGGATTGGAGGGCGTGTCAGTCATGTCCAGCCTGGAGATGAGGGCAGTGAAGAGGAAGGGGGGGGGTGGCAGGAAAGAAGAGGGTATGAGGTGTGAGGAGGCATCTGGCAAGGACCCTGGGGGAGATGTGTTTAGGCAGTTTCTGGGGCGTGACCCCGTGGCTTGTGGGACTGCTTGGGAGAAGAGTATGACCTGGGATGATATTTGGAAGAGTGAGGAGCTGGACTGGATTTGGGGGCCTGGGGAAATGTGGGTCTCTTGAGAAGGTGTCCAAAAGAGCCTGGGCGTCAGGTTTGTGGGGTTCTGAAGGAGTTCGGGGACAGGCGTCAAGGGGTGTGAGGGTTCCTGTGCTGGTGTCAGTACTTGCTTCCAGCAGCACACCTTTCCCCTCTCATGGATTTTTCTTCTGAGCAGAGGTGAATATCCAAGGAAATAGCTGGAGAGTGTTTTGCCCATAGGGTCATAGAGCGCATTCCACTGTTCTCTGGCCCCCACTGGGCTCTTAACTGTGTGGTAGCTGAGACTTGGGGTTGAGGTGGGAGAAGAATCCTTGCATAAATGCTCCTCAATTTTGTGTCTCACTGTGCATCTGGAGCTCTTTCCCCGCATACATGGTCGCATGGTCTCCATACCCCACTAAGTAGGCAGGGCTGTTGTCATTGTCTCCACTCAGCAACAGTGATGGTAGCTGTCATTTATTGAGCATATATTACGTGCCAGCCACTGTATGAAGTGTTTTAAGATGTATGGCTTAATCCCTGCAACTTTCTGAAAGGGTTGGTGATATTATGCTCCTCCTCCTTCCCATCTTTTTAAAAATAATCAGAAGAGGAAATGGAGACTTTGAGAGGGTCAGTAATTTATCCAGAGTGACAGTTTGTGGGGGCAGAGCTGGTCTGTGGGCCTTCAAGCCCAAGCTCTGTACCTCTCGCCACCCCTTCCAGATGCGAAAACTTCCCAGTGAGCTCAGTGGCCTCCTCAGAGTTGTCCAAGCTGTCATAGCAAAACGGGGGTGAATCTTGATCTCCTGAACTTGGTGCCAGTGCACCCCCACATTACCACCTCTTTGAATTGAGAAGATGTGTGTTTATTCTTGGAGTTTGAGAGGAATTTGTGGATGGCACCCGCTTAGACTCTGTCTTGGGGCAGCGTTCTGTTACATAAGTAAAATTCAAAGGTCTCGGAAGGGTGTATAGCCAGATACATGGGAGTGAAAAGGGTATCTGTGCCCCCCCCACACCGCCCCATCCCTTTTCTCCCCAGCTGCGAATGCTTTTGCATGTGAGATATATGAGATCATACGTTCTGTATCATTTTTCGACTTTTTGCACACAGTCATGTGTCTTGGGGTTCCTTTCATACCAGCACAGAGGGGCTCTTTCTGGTTCTTTCGATAGCTGCATTCCACAGGATGTTTGTGCCATAGCTCATGTTCTTTGACTCCCGTTGGTGGCCTCTTATGTGGCCTCCAATTTCTTCCCATCAGAAACGGCTTGCAGCATCGATCCTCGTATCCCAAAGAGAACGCAGCAGCTTGAGGGGTGGGGTAGGATGGATGTGTTTATGAAACGGTGAATGGTGCTGCTAAGTTGTCCCGTGTTTACACTCCCATCAGCCTCTTTTTCCAGATCTCTGCTGGAGCACTTATCACTTACAGAGGTGTGACTTCTCCCCGCTAAGACCCAGACTTTGTCAGATTTTTGATGAACTCGGAATGCCTTTTCTCCCAACAGCTGAGTCCGACTGCTCCTGGCAGCCAGTGCCCAGCAAGTCTGTGCTGAATGCCAGAAAGGCAGCCCCAGAGGTCCTGTTGTGGGGGAGAGATGAGAGCATGGAGTGGTGGTGGAGCTGTGGCCTGATAAGGAGCAGGACTGCCAGGTTGGGGGGGTGTCCTGAGAAGCAGGTGATGTGGTTTCTGCCCTCGGGAACTTCCAGGCTCACAGAGGAGGCTGCAGAGATGCTACGTGTTCATGCACACTTGCATCCTGATTCTGTGACCCTGCCCACAGTGGGTGGCACTTGTGGGATGGAGAGCTCTTTGAGGACAAGAGGAACTTCTTGGGGGGATCTGAACTGGCCCTTCATGTGGGAGCGTGTAGGAGTGTAGTGCCAGCAGAGGTGTAGGCGGGTCCCTCCCCTCTGCCAGCCTCACGGGGACTTTGAGGGCTCCGTGGGACTCCTTCCTGCCAGGAGGCACTGATGCTTGGGAACGAGATGGGAGGCCAGATGGGACCGAACTGTGACCCCCTCCGGAGGGACAGCGACAGGAAGATGGGCAGCAGCCCCTGGGAGACAGTGCCGCTCAGTCTCTGGGGAAGGAAGCCTTTGAGAAGCTGCCTGGCTAGAGCCGAACAGCCGGAGGAGAGGCGGTGTCTCAGAATGGTTCTGGGGGTGTGTGTTCTAACATTCTGGCCAGGGGGAATAGCAGTGGGTGGATTTGGGGTGGGCTAGAGAATGTCCAGATCGCAGGCCCTGCCGACCTAGCAGGGCACTCCATGGGCAGCTGCAGGGCGGGAGCGACCGACCACCCACAGTCCCCCTTTTGGTGGGATTCCTCGGACTTGGAACACTTCAGACAATACTTTGGTTCTCCTTTCTCCTTTCTTTGCCAGAGGAAATGGGAAGGGGACACCAGCAGGGTGGGCGCTTGAGTTTGCATCCTTAGGAGATAGATGAGGGCCTGGCGTGTGGCACGGAGAACATGGGACACTGAGCAGTGGGGAGACTGGTTGTGATTCCGAACTCCGCTTTCTCCCCTCCGTGGACCGCCAAGGCTCACCATGTGTTTTCAGTCCTGCCTCTGGATTGCCCCGGATCCATTCATTCCCCCGCCAGCGTCTCCTCTGGGCCGCTGTCACCTCTCTGTGGGATTTCTGGGATTGACTCCTCCTGTGACTGGCCTCTTTGCCTTTAGCTTTGTTACCCCTCCCCCCCGCCTTTTGGAGTTACCTTTGTAACCTGCAAATCTGATTGCTTCCCTAGTGTGCTTAAAACCCTGCAGTGGCTTCCCCTGTGCTCTTGGGGAAAATTTCAGACTCACTCACAAGGTCTGAGGTCCTTTGTTAGGCCCACATGCTTCTCCACCCTTCCTTGCTTACCCTTTACATGTTCTGATGCCACCACGCTGGCCTTCGACAGCTCCTTCAGCCCACCGTGGCTCTCGTCTCAGTCCTCTGACTGCACATTTCACTCCCCTTCTCACCAGCCTTCGGTGCTGAACTCCTCCTGCCTCCCAAAGTGGGTGGGGCGTCCCTCCTCCCATGACGCCCTTTCTCCCTCGCTGTGGCCAGGCACACTCTGCTAGTCGGTGCTCCTGCTCTTCGGTCCCTCTCCTTCGTTGCCCAGCGCTCACCAGATCCTCGTGGGCCGTCACCGGGCAGTGTGGGTGGCTGCCTGGCCTGCTGGATGCCCAGGGGACAGGGAGGATAGGGAGCCAGTCACTGCAGGCTTTTGTCTGGGGAGAGGCCTTTTCTTTCCCTTGCCCCCACTTTCTGAGTCACTGACAGGCGATTTGGGTGACTGATAAGAGACACAGAAGACAGACATTCCCACTTGAGAGATGTTGCTCACAGGCGGGTATGCCTGTCTGGCCCTCGACTGTCATAGGTGTGTGTGTTGCTTTGAAGTGCAGAAGGAGAAAGTAGGGGGTGTCCTGTTCTCAGGGCCAGGTGAGCTGTATTTTCCAGGGCATGCCTCGTGACATATTTATTTATCCATTGTTTGCCCCACACCGCCTGGTGCGGTTCTCTGTCCTCTCTCTGTAACAGTGTCGGGTGCACAGTTGGAGCTGGATCAGTATTTATGGAGGAAACGACTGATGGGTGATACTGTGTCATGCGTGAACGCGTGTCTGTCCCTTTATATTTTACCTAAAGGAAGCTGCGAGGCAGTCATGCCTGCAGGATAAATCCCTAGAAGCAAAACTCCTAGGACAAAGGAACGTGCATTTAGTATGTTTATGAAGAGGTCAGGTTGCCCTCCTGCAGGGAAGAGAGTCATTTCATGACCCCGTCAGCAGTGCCGGTTGTCCTGCCGGCCAGCACTGGCGTGACTTGGCTCTGTTAACCCAGGGAGAGCCTGGTCTCTGGAGCCAGCGGGCTGTGCTTTGGGCATGTGGCTGTTCAGTGCTCCAATGCCTGGGGCAGAGGCCAGGGCCTTACAGCCTCAGGAGAGGGAGAGCTGTGTGGGTGGACACGGTCCTAGTGAGGCTTCGAGCTTGTTCCCAGCCTGGACGAGGTGTCTGGGGCCAGACTGGACCCTGGGGCAAGCTCGTGATGGCGGGATTGGCTCCTGGGAGGCACAGCTACCAGGGGCAGGGGCTATAAACTACAGATATCCCTACTTGGTGGGTCTCAGGGCCCACAAGAATCCTGGCTTCCTGAACAGGGCCCGTATCAACCTGCCAGAGAATGGATGGGGACAATAAAAATGCTTAGAGGTAGGAGCTGGTGTTTATTAGCCTTCGTCTGTGCTAGGCCTTGGAATGACAGCAATGGAACACGTGGGCAGGCACTCTCAGGAGCCCCATTTTGTAGAGAGGGGACAGTGGAGGCTCAAAGAAGACTGATAACCCTCCTGAGATCAGACAGCAGCTAAGTGGCCAAGCCAGGCCTAGTGCTCAGGCTGGAACAGTGGAGCACTTGGGGAGAAGCCCTGCACTCGGGCTTCCGGAACATGGTCAGGGGCCAGGATCCTGCCTTGAAGGCCATTGGTGCCATGTCTCCAAACGACCTGTTGACAGACTAGAGCAGACGGGGCCGCCCTTGCCAGCAGACGGTGTGAAGTGGTTGGCAGGGGCCCCGGGTCAGGTCTGTGCCACGTCTCCCTTCGCCTGGGCAGACTCCAGCGGGCCGCTTGTCCCCACAGTGGGGGCTGAGTGGTAACGCGGTTGGATTGGAACGGGAGCCAAGTCGAGCCACCCACTCTTGTCCCTGAGCTCCAGAAGTAGCTCCCACGCCTCGGAGACAGATGCTCTGGTAGAAATAGTGAGACGCCACCTCCACCAGCACCTGCCTGGTGTGGGGGAGGGCGGGGCTGAGCATGCCAGCCTCCCCTACCTTCGCCTCCAGCACTTCTCCCCAAAGGGCAGGGACCAGGCTGGGCCCATTTTAATTTCTGGGCCTAGAGGCTCCTCTTCGGCTCTTTCACCAGGCTGACATGGCAAAGGACTGGCTGTAGGCCCAGTGTGCTCTCTCCTGGTGCCACTGGGCTTGGCTCATGTCTTAAGGCCATGGAAGGGCTGCTGTATGTCAGTCACTGCGGGGCAGGGTCTGGAGCTGACTGGACCTGAGTGAGTGGGGGACTCTCCTCAGTGATCTGCTCTCCTGTTTTGCACTCCCCTCCGACCTGTCAGGCTCAGGTGGCCTTCCTCCAGGGAGAACGGAAAGGGCAGGAGAACCTCAAGACTGACCTGGTGCGGCGGATCAAGATGTTAGAGTATGCGCTGAAGCAGGAGAGGTGAGCCCTGCTGCCCTGCTCCTGCCTCCCTGGGGCAGTCTCCGGGCAAGAGGCAGCTGGATCAGGTGGTTGCCCACCCCTGGTCCCGTGGGTCTAGGCGAGGCAGACAGGACAAGACGGGAGTCGGGATGCCTTCTTGTCATGCTCTCCGCCGTGATGGTGGCCCCGTCTCACCTGTCCCTTCCGGGGCACACAGGAGGCTGCTGGGGGTGGGGGTGGGAGCACTTCTCCAGGGACAGCTGGAGCAACGCAGTCGGCCTGACTAGGAAGAGTGGGCACTCACGATGCGGTGCCTCCAGTGCCAGGCTGCTTCCTGGGGAGGCAGTTCAGCTTCAGATTGAGGAGGATGGAGGGCGGAGGCCCAGGGGGTGAGGTTCCTGAGGTGAGTGCTGGCCTTGTCTAATTTTCTGTCTCTCGTTTGTTAATCATTTACTTTAGAGCCAAATATCATAAATTGAAGTTTGGGACAGACCTGAACCAGGGGGAGAAGAAACCAGATCTGTCGGAACAAGGTACCCCGCTCTGACCCTCACCTTCCCTTGCAACAGTACTGGATGTGCCAGAGTGGACAGGTGTGCCGGTGGCCACCTCTTCCCCACCTTGCTCCCCGCAAGCAGAGCTGATGTGGGCTGGAAGGGGTTGAACCCCACTCTGACAGGTCTGGCGGGGAGGGTAGTGGTGAAGAAGACCGTCCTGCCTGTGTCCTTCTGTGAAGTAGAGACAGACACAAAGGGTCCCTTTTGGTGTAAGCCCCTGGAACAGGACTCAGTTCCCCAGCAGGGAAGCGAGGAAGAGAGTGCCAGGTACATGAGAGTGTCGCCTGGGAGTGAACAGAGAGCCGCTGGGGTGACCGGGACAAACTGTGAGCCTCACGAGGTGGGGGCCTCTTGTCAGGGCCTTCAATGCTCAACTACTGGGGATTGTTGTCCTTCGTGGCAGGCTCTGTGCCAGGACACAGTTCTCAGGCCCCGGCTATTGTTTATTGGTGTAGCTTGGGCACCCCGCCAGGCCAGAGTAATTGTCCGATAAACATTTGATGAATCAAATAAACAGATTATCTCACTTAATCTTCACAACAGTCCCAAGAGGCAGATGCTGCTATTAACAACTTCATTTCTCAGAAGAGGAAACTGAGGCTTAGTAAACTGACCTGCTGAAGGTCACGCAGCTAGGAAGTGACAGTGCTGAACTTGAACTAGGAGAGTCTGCCTGCTCCCAGAGCCCACCAGCTCTCTGCACAGCAGAACAACTAGCCCTGAGCCTCAAGATGGCGGAGGCGGGTGGTGGTTTGGGGACTGACCCAGTCAGGAGGCCAGAGGTGCAGAGGGCAGGGCAGGTTTCACATACTCTCAGGAGATGATACTGCAGGACTCGTGACAATGACTGACATAGATTGGAGGGCGAGGGGTGCGTGGTGGTACCCTACGACATGGCAGTGCCCTGCCTCTTCTCTCCATCCTGCAGTCTCCAATGGCCCGGTGGAGACGGTCACCCTGGAGAATAGCCCGCTGGTGTGGAAGGAGGGGCGGCAGCTTCTCCGACAGTGAGTGTGCAGAGGGCTGGGGGCGGGGCGGGACATGTTTGGCTTTGGAGATTAGCCTGAAGCCTTCCTGTCCTTTTTGGGGACACTGAACTATCAGGTTCCTGGCTGCCATGGCTGAGCTGGCCTGTCACCCGGTGGGTGGGGCCTTGCCTGATAGTTGCATTGAGGAGGCAAACATGGGGCACCGCCACTCTTGGGAAGCAGCCCCAAATGCTTCTGTGACTTCTTTCCCCAAGGGTAATGTTATTTTTCACTACCAACGAGACGTGTGTGTTCAGGAGACTTGGGAAATACAGGGAAGCACAAAGAAAACAGAAAAAAATCACTCATAATCCCACCACCCAAGGGATTTCCTGCCCTCGTATATCCATCTTGGCTTGTGTCCCTTCCATGGCTGTGTATTTGTGTCTGTGTTTTTTAGTCTTTAAACTTTTTAAAATTTTTTTTTGCATTTTGAAAGGGTAGGTTTATTAGGAAAAAGGAAAAAAAAAAAAGGCTTGCACAGATACAGGTGGGCAGAGATGCATTTGGAAGGGGCAGATTTAGTAAGAAGAGGCACCTGCATAGATGGTCTTAAGGCAGATCTGCTGTTTTGTGTTTTTTAAAAGACAGGATTCCCCTCTGCAGTGCTGTGTGATGCACTCCTTTTGTCAGATCCGTGGATATCTTTCACATGATGGTCTGCCTTGTGGGCGAACCAGAACTTTTCTTTAGCCCTTTTTGTGTATTTGTTTGAAGTGGTTTTTGTAGGCAATGTGACAAACAGCAGGAAGTTATCTGTCCATACCCTTGACTTCCTTAAGCTAAGTATTGGAAGTGCATTTGCTCCCTTAGTACACGAGAGGACAAGATAGCTGGCCACATGCACCACGTGCCTGCCACGCATCTGGCGCTGAGCTAAATGCCCTGTGCACACTGATTCCCGCATCCTCACAGATGAAAACCAGGTGCAGAGAGGGCCTCTTTTTGCTCAAAGTCACACAGCTTTGGGGGAGGGTCTGAGATGTGGTCTTAGGAGTCTGCCCTACAGCCCCCTTCAGCTCATGCTTCCCTTCCCGGCCCTTGGCTGGGGGAGGGCGAACCTCAGATCCACACCCGCAGGCCCCGGGGTGAGGCCGCTGGTGAAGGCCAGTGTGGCCCTCCCGTGCTGGCAGACTTGCTGAGGGACAGGCAGGGTCGTGGGGAACAGAGTGGGCTGAAGGAGCTTCTTGAGGACCAGCCAGAGGCTGTGTCTCACTCCTTTTGAAGCTGCACTTGCCTTCAGTTGAAGTTGTTTTAAAGCTTTTAGACCAGTCCTAGCTGGCTTCAATTTTTAAAATTGCACAATTAATCAGTACTCATTTGTAGGAGTAGAATAAATTGTACAAGCTCCACTGACAGTCCCTGATCTCATTCTCGGAGCTCTCTTCTGCTAAGTTCGGGCCTGTGGGAGGCGCTGCTCGCGGCGTGTGTGATTTGTCCTTACCACGTCAGTGAGCGTATGTTCCCTTTTTTAAAACAGACACTTGAATTGTACAGAACACATAGCTTAGGATTTTCCTTTCAGCCGTTTCTCATGGTCCTCTCTCCTGGGCACTCTGCTTCGCTTACTTGCTGCCCGGCGTCCCCATTACAGGACGTGTGGCTTGGCCCGGCGCTTGGGCTCTCCCAGCCAGCAGTGGTGGGACCAGCTCTCTGCGGCCGCATCCTGCCCGCACGTCCTGGCTCCCACTGAAAGCTGTCTTGAGAGCGAAAGAGCGGCATCGGGGTCAGCTTCCCTAAAAGCACTGGCCTGAGGTCTGTGAAGGCTGTACCTGTCCTGCCTCCTTGCAGGTACCTGGAAGAGGTGGGCTACACAGACACCATCCTGGACATGCGCTCCAAGCGTGTGCGGTCCCTGCTGGGCCGCTCCCTGGAGCTGAACGGGGCGGTGGAGCCCAGCGAAGGCCCCAGGGCTACACCAGGTCCTGGGGGGCTCAGTGGTGGGGAGTCGCTGCTGGTGAAACAAATCGAGGAGCAGATCAAGAGGTGAGGCGCAGTGCATGTCTGTCCTCCTTCCTCCCGAAGAAGACCCATGTCGGGAAAGTCAGCAGTGCTCGGGAGGCTCTGGGGCCCCCTCCCTCCTGGAGTACGCCTGGCACCTTTGTTCTGGGACCCTCTGTCCCTTTGTGGTGGGGGCCCCTGGATTCCGGTCTGGGTCCCCTGCGGCCTCGCCAGTGTGCTGTTGTGCAGCAGAGCTCATCTCTAGGTGGTCCTCCCAAGGCTCAGGCCTGGTCACTGGCCACGCGGAGGGTGCCCCTGCTAACGGCAGACCCTGGGCCATAGGCCAGGACCTTCGGGAAACACAGCGCCCCCCTCAGGAGCTCTTACTCCTCCATCAGTAGTCGTCGTTCACCGACATAAATGACTGAGTGTGGCGCAACGCTGGGTGCTGTGAGGGTGGAGGTGGAGGGACGTGCAGTGGCAGCAGTAGGCCTACTCTTGATGGAGGGCCAGGAGCTCCTCGTGGAGGTGGCATTGGCCAGACCCTGAAGGGAAGGCACAAGGAGGAGCTGGAAGGAGCGTGTCCAGACAGTGAGACCAGCAGGGTAAAGGTTCTGTGAGGGGAAGACTCAGCATGTTCCGGAAGCCCCAGAGCGCCAGCGTGGCTGCACCCAGCGAGCACGTGGGGCTTGTGGTCTGTGGTGAGGCGGAAATCTCAGGAGTTAGATCAGACCGGGCCTTGAGGGTGTGATAAGGAGTTTGGATTCTACTAACAGTTTGGGGGTTAGTGGTTTCAGCAGGTTGTCACGTGGTATAGTCTGCTTCAGGCAAGGGAGGTTGGTGGGGGGAGTCCCACGCTGTCCAGGTGAGAGGTCTGGGGGTGAAGTGGTCAGCTTCTTAGAGGTTTTTAGGTTGCAGTTGACATAATGTAAAAGATTGGGTGAAGGTGAGGGAGAGAAACTAGGGGTGTCTCCGGATTTGGTTTGAGACTGGGTGGGGCAGTATTGACTAAGATGGAGAAGGTGAGAAGTGGTTTGTGAGGGCCTGTTCCGGACAGGTGAAGTGTGAGGTGCTGTGATGACACCTTTCCCTGCACCCTAGGGTGTGGAGCCGCCAGCCCGGAGCTGGGGGGCAGGCATTTGACTGCCAGACTCCCTGGTTCTGCCACTTGCAGACAATCTCTGAAAGCCGAGGGACTCTGGGAAGAGTGTAAGTGTCACAGAGGAAATCCAAGGATGGAGTCCCTGGCTTAGGGGGGCCCAGAGGAACAGAGGAGGCTGAGCCTGCAGCCAGTGCTGGGAGCAAACCTGAGGATGCTGCGCGGCTGAACCCAAGAGAGGAGCTGTGGGGGAGGAGGGGTGGCCAGCAGCCAGAGGTCAGGTCTCTACCCTGCGCCCTGGCAGTTGACAGCTTTCCGGAGCACCAACCCACTGGCAGTAAAGGAGGATGTTTGCATTCATTTGAGCTTTGGAGTCCTTCCCTCTTTCCTCCCCTGGAGTGGGAGTAGGCAAATAGCCCCTTTGCTAGAACCGGCCATCCAGCTGGAGGCATTGAACAGAGGGCCAGGAGGTGGAAACAGGAAACCCAGTTGCTGGGGGAGTCCCTGCTAGGATGGCCGTGGGCCTGCCTTTGAGGAGCAACCTGTCCCGCGCCTGGGGGTAGTCTCTGCCACTTGCCTGACCTGCACTGGTGGTTTGACCAGGACCTCAGGGACAAAGCTGTCGAGTCAGCAGCACTTCTGTCCAGCTTTTCTTCTGACTTGGCACATAAGGGAAATGTGTGGTCAAGGCTGAAGGCTCTTTAGACCGCAGTGTTCCTGGTTCAATGAGGAGTTGGGCTCTGTCATGGGCCAAATGAGGGTTTGAGTTGACTCTGGAGCAGAGGGTGGGACCCGGGCCTCTAGGGATCAGTCAAGGCTCCCTGGGCCAGAGTGGGCTCAGTCCCCCGAGAGCTGGGTCCAGCCTCTGGCCAGCATACTGTAGTGCCCTCCTATGTGGGCTTTGTCACCTGGCAGGAATAATGTGCCCTCTGCCCTGCTGTTGTGGACAGGAATGCGGCGGGCAAAGATGGCAAAGAGCGCCTGGGCGGCTCGGTGCTGGAGCAGATCACCTTCCTGCAGAACTGCGAGGAGGAGGACAGTGATGAGGACGACGAGCTGGACAGTGTGCAGCACAAGAAGCAGCGTGTGAAGGTGAGCTGGGCCCCAAGTTGTGCCCTTCCTCTGCCCCTTCTCCACGTGGACCCCTGTTCTGCGCATCAGCCTCAGCACGCCTCTGTGGGTAGGGCCTGGGGCCACACTTGGCACCTCTGTCCCTTTTAGAGGCGCCTGGTCTTCACTGTCAGGGCCACACCAGTGTCCTGGACTCCCCCATGCCACTTCCTCCGTCCTCCCTCTTCCAGCTCCAGGCGTCTTTTCTGGGCTCTGTAAAGGCCTGCACCAGCGCCCCGCGGCGCACTCTCCAGCCCGGCAGGTCCGCTTGGACAACGTGTGGGATGCCTGGGCTCCAATCCCCTGATAGTGAGCGCCAGGCTGGGACTGTGTCTTCTCGCTGTTCTCTCCCCGGCATCCTGACAGGGTGTGGGGGGTGGGTTCTCTGTGAGGTTTATAAATTGAAGGGTGTGACTGGGCCCTGCGTTCAGCCTGGGTGGGACGGGGGGCTCAGCCTGGTGCCATTTTGGGGCCCAGTGGGGCTGCGTAGGATGTGAAGGTACAGTCTGCCAGCGGTGCCCAAGGGGTACAGTGTGGATGGCAGCTTGGTCTGGCGTGGCAGCACGTCCTGACATGCCGTGGGCGTGTCTGTCCACTGAGCATCCATTTGGGCTTTCATGCACCTGCTCTGTGCCAGCAGCAGGACGGGGGCACACAGGTGTAGTCCCCAGTGTAGAGGAGCTCGTGGCTGGCAGTCGACTTGTGAGTGGTCACCGGCAGAGGGCGGGACATGCCCCCACAAGGGGGGATCTGCGGCAGGCAGCCTACAGAATTCTGTAACCTGGTCTCCCCACAGAACTCCTTCCCTCCTTCGGCCCCACTTCAGACGCTCCTCCAGTTGTCTTCGGACTGGCCCTTGCTTCCCTTCCCCACAGGGTCTGGCGTCTCCCCTGAGGTCCCCTGTCCTGAGCCGGACCCCTCCTCCCTTTCTGATCAGGGGGCTCTGTGCAGCCTGCACTGGCCTCTGCTGGGTCACCTGTGTTCCCAGGTGACTCAGCACTGGGCCCCCCAGGTGAGGTGCTCTGTGAGCACTCTGAGTGGAGGGGATACGCAGAATGCAGGAATTGGGGTGAAGGGAATGCCAGGTGCCTCTGAGCCTGGGCCCTGTGGTACTACTCCTGTGTCCAGATTGCCTGATCCCACCTGCAGTTGTAGGGGTTTCATGCTCTTTTGAGGTCTTACCTCAGCCACGTCTCAGAGACTAGCCCACTCCTCTCTGCTCCTCCCATCCGGACCATCGCTGACTTCTTATGCCGTTGCTTGTCACCACTCTCATCCTGCTGTCCTGTGGCTGCCCCTGTGGGGGCCTTGCGCCTTCACAGGCCCCATCTCCACACAGCAAACCTGCAGTGAGGCTTAGGAGGTGGGAACCCAGACATGCATGGCCTCCTGTGACGCCGGAGTGACCGCTGGCTGGCCGCCTGGTTTGGGCACGTGGTTCTCTTTGTCTTAGCTTCCGTTTCCACAGTAATTCCTGTTTCTGGATGATCGAGCATTTAATTAAAAGGAGTTTACGCACGGAAAGCCCTCGGCGGCTCTCAGCAGCGCGGTGAGCAGTAGCGGCTCTGCTTGTCCCAGGCAGATGTGCTTGTGCTGGGCCCTCTCGTGGGCCCATCAGCGCTCCCATCATGGCCCCCACTCCTGTAGAGCCCCGGCCCTGGCCTCCCCGCCATACTGTGTCACCCTAAACCTGAAGTTTCCAGGAAGGGCAGAGGAAGGCGCCGGCTCCCACACCTCTGCTCCTCCCATGCAGCCAGAGACTAGCCTCTCATGATGCCTGAGAGGTGTTGCCTCAAAGTCTTACCTTCCTGACCTAGCTTAAGGTAATGGGCCTGTGGGAGGGTAGGGGGCCCTGTCCCCCAGGAGTTCACAGTCAGGCAGAGGCTGGCCCCATGGATGCCCAGGATGCAGCCAGGCTCCTTCTACCCCAAAGAGATGCTAGTTGAGTGAGTGGTCACCCAGATCCCAGGGCTTGGTGGGTGGACTAAGTTCAAATACCAAGATTGCCTTTTTTTTTTTTTTTTTAAAGATTTATTTATTTATTTATACAAGCACTGGGTACAGTCAGGAGCGCAGGAGGGTGAGAGAATTCACCAGAGCCAGAGCAGGGAACAGAACAGGCAGACTGACGAAATACACTGCTGAGGGGAGCAGCAGGTGCGGCAGGAGAGGTCTGCGCGCCATGTGGGACCCTCACCCGGTGGCTGGGGAACGAATTGGCGCTGCAGAGGCTGCGGGCAGCTTGGCCACCCAGTGCTCAATTGCTGCACCACCGGGGAGTCCCCCAAGATTGCCTTTGATAATTCTAGAACACTCTTGAGCCATCTAGGTGCAGATTTGGAGGTTCCAAGTTCCCAAACCCTGGACGGTTCTTTGGGGGAAACGTAGTGCTGCTTAGCCATAAGAGGGTACAGGGCCTTCGGCACGAGCCACTTTGCCAGGCTGTGTGTTCAAGGTGTCGGTGTGGAAGCTCCTGAGTGTACGGGTCGGGGAGTCAGGAGACAGGCTTGTGCTGCTGCTTCCGTGAAGAGGACTGAGGGAACTCAGCACTGTCTGGGGAGGGACCGTGCAGCTGCGCTCGCTCACAGCAGCGCATGCTTGTTGTCTGAGGACAGAGGTCCAGCCAGTGGATATGGCTGGGGGCCCGGGCAGCACTCCCTGACCATCAGGCATGCCTTGGACCTGGTGACCTGCAGCAGGATCTTCACGCTGCTCAGCCTTAGTCCCCTCCTGCACATGTGGAAGAGTAGTGACCACTGCGGGGTAGTGATGAGGCAGGAGGCGCTCGTTCAGTGTCTGGTGCATGGAGACTGGCTCAGGGTTCGACCAGTGTTACTGCTGCTGCCATGTGCGGATCTGGCCCTCTTGCTTTGTATGCCACTTTAAACACAAATGTATCTCACCCCAAGTAGGAAATCCCACTTTTCTTCATGAGAAGTACTATGCTGGGGTGGGGAATGGTGTGCAACCGCTGGGGGGGGCATCATAGCTACAGGTGGAGGAGGAACGGGTTTCGAATGTCAGGCTGGGGAGCTGACTCCCATCCCTGGCCCTCTCAGTCTGCAGTTCATGAAAATTCCCAGCAGGGGGAGCACTGGGCATCCCCAGGGAGCTGGTTTCTATGCTGCATTGGTCTAAGGAGGGCAAAGCTGGGCGAGACCCGGGCCAGGAACACTGTGTTTCTCTGTTCTCAGAGCCCCGGGTGGGCTTGCGCTCTGGGCCAGATCCCCCTGACCAGGGTGGTTTCCTCCATGCCCCAGCTTCCATCCAAGGCCCTGGTGCCTGAGATGGAGGACGAGGATGAGGAAGATGACTCAGAAGATGCCATCAATGAGTTTGACTTCCTGGGCTCAGGAGAGGACGGGGAGGGCTCTCCAGACCCTCGGCGTTGCACCGGAGACGGGACCCATCACGAACTGGGTGAGTTGAGGCTCTTCCGACCAGCCTTTCTCACCGAGGGTGGTGGAGACATCTTGGGTCCTACCCCTTCCACACATAGCTGCCTGCAGCTGTTTCCTGTCCATGTCTCCACCGGACGGATATGCTTCCGGAGAGGAGCGTGGCCAAGGAGCACAGAAGGCCCAAGTCACGGTGGCCAGGCCTCTTGTCCCTTCCCTAGAAAATCCCCATGGGGATGCCGGCAGGCCTGGCTCTTCCTGCAGCAGGCCTCCAGCCTGCCACACAAGCGTACAGGTCTAGGCGGACTGCAGGGAGGGGGCAGGATGAGGACCTGCTCACAGCCAGAGGGGGCGAGCAGATGGGGCAGAGCGTCTTCCTCCCATGACTCTGAGCTCCCAGGCCCCGGGTTGTGTGGGCTGAGTGGAGACAGAGGCCCCGGCAAGGCAGCAACTCACCCACAGCCCCGCGGAGGGTCCCAGTTCATTCTGTCTCAGCCCATTGCGGATCGCTTCCTGGTGCGCCCTGGGGCCAGGGCAGGCCCATACGTGCAAGAGAGGCTTTGGGGTGGAGAAGGCGGCACATGCATGTGGCTGGGTTGAACTGGGGGGTGACTTCTGCCCTGTGTCCTGTCCCTGCAGAAAGCCGGCGAGTCAAACTCCAGGGAATTTTGGCTGACCTACGGGATGTGGATGGGCTGCCCCCTAAAGTGACCGGCCCCCCTCCTGGCACACCCCAGCCCCGGCCGCATGAAGGTAAGAGGCCTCCACCCGTCCAGTCCCGCGGGGCCCGTGGCAGAGGGAGGCTGCAGAATTAAGCCCAGGACTCCTATGTCCTCAGGGCCGAGGCCCAGCCTCCAGTCTGCAGGCTCCCTGTCCCAAAAGTTGGTCTGTCTGTCTGTCTCTGTCTCCCTCTTTTTGTCTGTCCTGCCCTGTCTGTCTGCCTGTCTCTCTCTGTCTCTTTCTTTCCAGCTGTGATTCTTGATCTTATCTTCTCCCTGTCTTTCTTCCTCCCTCCTTATCTCTCTCTCTTGGCTTCTGTCTCTCTCTCTCCCCCTGCGCCCTCTGCCCCTTCCTGCCCCTCCCCCTACCAGGTTCCTTTGGCTTCTCCTCAGACGTTTTCATCATGGACACTATCGGGGGCGGGGAGGTGAGCCTGGGGGACTTGGCAGATCTCACCGTCACCAATGACAACGACCTCAGCTGTGATGTAAGTTCTTGGGGTGCCCCACCCCTGCAGGTCCCCATCGGCTATCTCTCGCAGGGCCAGCACTTGCCAAGCTCCCTCCTGCACTTAGCACGGTGGTGATGTGGGGTGGTTCAGCAGCCCACCATGTTTTACAGCGAGGGGCAGGTAGACTTGCAGGATCACTGAGCACAGAGCCTGGAAGACTCTGGAGCCCTTGTTTTTTTTTTTTTTTTTTTTTTTTAAGATTTACTTTTATTTATACATACAAGAGCTGGGATGTAGACCAGAGGTACGGGGGCGGGGGGTGAGAGGATTCACCAGAGACAGAGTGGGGAGCAGAACAAAGAGATTGACTGGAATCCACTGCTATGGGAAGCAGCGAGGAGACAGGAGAGGTCTGCTGCGCCATGTGGGTCAGCTTCCTGGCCAGGTATTGAACTCCTGCTGCAGTGGCTGCGGATAGCTTGATAGCGCTGAGACTTGAATCCCTGCGCCACCAGGAGCCCTTATCTTAATTGCGCTGCCAGGCTTCTCAAGGCCACACTCCCTCCCTCCCTTGGTGCATGCACCTCAAGTCCAGGACCCACCATGGTCAGGGAGGTCACCCACCCTCCGTGCTGGAGGGCTGAGTCTAAATACAGTGTCAGGAGAGGGGCTCTGGGCTGGCAGCAGCGTGGTCTGCGCAGGAGGGAGGACAGAGCTGACCTTTGCGGAGAAGGTGGCGTCAATCCAAAAGAAGCCAAAAGATGAGCCAGTCTGGGGTGAGGGCCTGATGGTGCCAGGGGACTGGAAGGGAATGATACCTGAGGCCTCTGTGCTTAGAACCAGACCCATGGTGGGCCCTAGACATCAGGCACCTCCAGAGGGGCCTGAGGCAGGACACACCCCACGCTCTCAGCCGGACCTCAAGTGGTCGGTGACGCCGGTGAGATCGGGAACGGAGCAGAAGGTTTGAGGGTCCTGGTTCATTCTGTCTCTGCCCATTGTGGATTGCTTCCCAGTGCGCCCTGGGGCCAGGGCAGGCCCACATGTGCAAGAGAGGCTTCGGGGTGGAGAAGGCAGCACATGCTTGTGAGGCTTTGCACTCTGGGCCAGAGCCCCCTGACCAGGCTGGTTTCCTCCATGCTCCAGCTGCCATCTAAGGCCCTGGTGCCTGAGATGGACCAGTGACCATGATGACCCTGCCACTGGGCTCCTTTGCTCCCCTGAGGGAGGGAAAACCAGACGACGGCAGATTCTCTGGCTCTGAACAACTGTGGCAGAATGATGACTGAGGCGGGGCCCTTAGGACAGAGATCTTGGGGTGTAGGGCTTGGTCAGGTGCAGACCCATTGATCTGGGGTCTAGGTACTGAAGCCTGCATGGCAGTTTGCTCACCTTTTCTGAGGGGCCCTCCCTGGCTCCCCAACTTGGAGATGGCACCACCATGCCCCAGGCTGTGTGCGGGGTCTCTGAGATGCCCCCAGAGGCCTCTGGACTCCCCTCCCCAGCCCTGCCCGCTCTGCTCTTGTCCCCAGCACCAGCGAACCTCCTGTTTCCCTGAGACTTCCTCTTGACCTCTTAACCTCTCTCCCTGCAGCCCGGGCTTCCCTTGATCCCAGCCTCCCCTGCGATGCCCTGTCATCCCCCCTGCCCCAGGCCCTACCGTTGCTCCCCATTTCTTTTCAGTTGAGGTGCAGATTTGCTGAAGCTGGCTCTCCAGGGTGGCCTCTCTGCCCTCGTCTGCCCACCCCCACCCCCCTTTCTGCTTCCTAGCTGCCTCCTGCCGCAGGTCGGTTTGGTTACGCAGTTTCCCTCCTCCGTCCCTCTCCTTACCTGGTCCTGCTGATTTGTCATTCCCCCAGGAAAGCCTTGTGGACCCCACAGAGGAGGGCAGGCTGCCAGTTACCCCCCGCCACCCTTCCCGCCCCCCGTGCCAGGAGTGTGTAGTCGTGTGCGCTAGTAGGATGATCTGATCGTCTCCCTGGCCCCTCTGAACTGGGGGAGCCCAAGGGTTCCTGCTCACCTTTGCTCACCCAGTCCCCACATGTTGTAGGAACTTGTTGAGTGAGAGACGAGGAAGGGGAGAGCGTCAATGGGAGGCCCATTTTGTGAGGCTGTTCCCCAGGGCTCTGAGCCAGAAAAAGACGAGTCCTTGGGGTCCTGGGTGCCGGCGCTGGCATCATATCTGTGGGACTGGCGGGCTGGACGGGAAGACACTGAGGCAGCTCCCCTCCGCCCCTCCAGCTGTCTGATAGCAAGGATGCCTTTAAGAAGACCTGGAACCCCAAGTTCACCCTGCGCTCACACTACGATGGCATCCGCTCTCTGGCTTTCCACCACAGCCAGTCAGCGTTGCTCACCGCCTCGGAAGATGGCACCCTCAAGCTCTGGAACCTGCAGAAGGCCGTCTCGGCCAAAAAGTGAGGGCCACGGCCACAGGGGTGGGGCACAGGGCAGGGTGATGGGTAGGGGAGGCTCGGTGACATCTGGCTCCTCTTTCTCTCCCTAGGAATGCTGCACTAGATGTGGAACCTATCCATGCCTTCCGGGCTCACAGGTAAGGAGGCTGTCAGCCCACCGCCATCCCAGGGAATCATGGCAGGAGGCGGGGCAGCAGAAGGGCTCTGAGGCCCTTCCAGACCCTTCCTGATTCTCAGCACAGCCCCTTGGAGGAGGAAGATGACAAGGGGGTGGGGACGGCAAGGGCCAGACAGCTTGCCTCGTGGCACCCCTAGAGCCCTGGCGCTGAATTCCTTTGGGCCGGAAGCATCCTAAATGCTGACTTGAAGGTTTGGGGGAGAGGGCAGCAGGAGGGGTGAGCACCGAGTTCTCTATCCCTGCCCCCACCCTCTGTGTCCTCCAGGGGCCCTGTGTTGGCAGTGACCATGGGCAGCAACAGTGAATACTGTTACAGTGGTGGGGCTGATGCCCGCATCCACAGCTGGAAGATTCCAGACCTCAACATGGACCCTTACGATGGTTATGGTGAGGACAGGCCCCGCCCCCCTCCTCTTCCCTCATCCGCACCTGCTGGGGCCCTTCCACTCCATCAGACCACACCGTGCCTAGCAACATAGGTGCAGGGAGGGGCACCAAGGCTGCTGTCGGGCCCAGCGTGGGCCGGTGTGGCTCAGCCTGTGGTGAGGGGGGATAAGATGAGGCTAGAGTGCAACAGAGGGGCAGGCCTCATGGAGTAGCCAGTGACCAAGCCGGTGACTGAGCCCACTCAGAGTCAGCGCGTCACCGGCACATGCCAAGGGGACACGTGCTCAGGGTGTGGGGCACGGTGTATTGAGTGGGGCAGAGAGGTGAGTGAGCAGGTTGTGGAGAGTTTGCTCTTCAGCTTGGGTGCCTCCAAGAGCTGAATGCAGAAGTGAGCAGACTCTTCTCCTCAGGGCCTATCCCTGCCCGTCTCACGAGGAGCCTTTTGATCTCATACACTGCGCCATGCTGTCGTGGCAGAGTTCAGGAACATGTAGTTTTCTGGAGAAGTGCCTCACCCTGTGAAAGGTCAAGGGCCAGTGGGTGTTGGCCGGGCCTGACCAGAGCCCCCCATGTGGATTCAGTGACACGGAGGCATGGTGGAAACAGCTAGAGGACTTTGGGGGGACCGGGCTTCGGTCAGAGAACACTTGGACGGAGGGCAGGGCCACTCGCCGGGGCCAGGCTGCACAGGGTCCCCTGACCACAGAGCCACCTGTTTCTTTGCCCCAGAACTGAGTGCTGAGAAGTACATCTCAGGTGTTTACTTTCTGCCAGATACTACTCTGGGCCCTGGGGGCACAGCAGTAAACAGAGGGAAATCTTTACCCTCTGGAGAGTCCATTTCTGGGGTACCATCAGTCCCCCAGAATGTTCCCAGAAGGGCTAGTGGACAGCAGTGAGCAGCTTCTGGGCACAGGTCCCAGGGGTGGCGGTTCTTAGGGCACGAGGATTCTGGCTGCGCAGCGTCAGCCCTGCCGCCAAGGTGTGGGCAGGGCTGGTGCTCTGGCCTTTCAGGATGGACAGGCAGCCCTGACCCAGCCACTTCCTCCTTTCGGTGGGTACAGACCCCAGTGTACTGAGCCACGTCCTGGAGGGCCACGCGGATGCTGTGTGGGGTCTGGCCTTCAGTCCCACCTCCCAGCGCCTGGCTTCCTGCTCAGCCGACGGCACCGTCCGCATCTGGGACCCCAGCAGCAGCAGCAGCAGCAGCAGCAGCAGCAGCAGCCCTGCCTGCCTCTGCACCTTCCCCACAGCCAGCGGTGAGCTCACACAGGCGCCCGGCAGAGCTGGAGGCCCAGGCCAGGGTGACTGGTTTCGAGGGCCCGCCCTCAGGGCAGGACCCGCTCTGTTAGGCAGCTTTCCTCTCTCCCCTCTGCCCTCAGATCACAGCATCCCCACCTCAGTGGCCTTCACCAGCACCGAGCCTGCCCACATCGTGGCCTCCTTCCGCTCTGGTGACACCGTCTTGTATGACTTAGAGACTGGCAGCGCCCTCCTCACGCTGGAGTCCCGGGGGAGCAGCGGTAAGAAGCCCTGCCAGAGGCTGGGATCTGAATGCCCCATTTCCTCCTGTGGCTTTGGTGACTGGTGCCCAGTCAGCTGAAGGTGGCTCCCCTACCCCCTTGGGGCTCTGAGCAGGAAGCAGATAAGGCTTAGGCACTGCCCAGACAGACAGCAGTGTCTTGGGAGGGCTGAGAGGGAAGATGGCCAGGGCCTGCCTGGTGGGGCAGGCAGCACATGTCCATGTCCAGCAGCTCCTTCCCACCCTGACGAGGGCACAGTGCTGGTCGGACAGATGGAGCTCTGGTGTCCTCCTACCATCCAGGCACAGGGCAAGGCTTTGGAGATTGAGGTTCTCCTCTTGCCTTTGTCCCGGTCTCCCTGATTTCCCCCGTTTCCGTCCAGGTCCCACTCAGATCAACCAGGTGGTGAGTCATCCAAATCAGCCCCTCACCATCACTGCCCACGACGACAGAGGCATCCGCTTCCTGGACAATCGAACAGGTGAGCCCCAGCCTTCCCGCCCAGCCCCTTCAGCCCACCCACCTGTGCTCACGGAGGCCAGGGGTGAACCATCTCAGAGGGCAGAACCCCAGGTCGTCCTGTTGGAGCATCCCCACCTACTCAGATCAGGTGGTGCTCAGACTGGAAAACAACCTGCCCTCCCCACCTCCAGGGAAATCGGTGCACTCCATGGTTGCCCACCTGGACGCGGTCACCTGCCTAGCCGTCGACCCCAATGGCGTATTCTTGGTGTCAGGAAGTAAGTTGGGGCCCTCCTGGCTCCTAAGAAAGAGACCTGGGCACTGGCCCCGAGTGGGTGCTCTGGGGGCCCTCTACCGCTAGGGGTGGTGGGAAAGTTTACCAGCAGGGGCCAGAGCTTCTTGGTGGGTGGAGTAACGTCACCGTGGAGACAGCAGCCCCACGCACCTGCGCGCAGCACAGGGTCAGGTCTGCCTAGCCTGCACGTGTCCTGGGGGGCAGGTAGGAGGAGGGGCAGAGAGAAGCCACACAGCTCCCTCTCACAGCCTCGTGGGTTGTAGGGTTTGGACTCTTGGTCCCCGTAAGGATTTTCAGCATTGGGGTGGGACTTGGATGGAAGAGGGGGTGAAGGGTACGTGCTGGCAGCCTGGGGAGGGGAGGCCTGACCCCATGAGCCCACCATAGGGAGAAGGGGCTTCCACATACCCCACTGACCTTGGCAGGCCCCATGTAGGTTGTCAGGGAGCAGGTGTGTGCAGGGATGGAGAGGGCCCAGTGGGCTTGCAGCCAGCGCCCCCAGAGCCGCTGTTTCCAGGGAGCACGGTGGAGGGGTGATCATGAGGTCATGTAGCTGCTCACTCTGGCACTCAGGACAGGGGTGGGCAGAGCACCAGCACCCGCCTGACTTCTCAAGCACAAGTCAAACCCCCAACCCCCACACCCCCTCATCCCCTGTGGCCAGAGCCCCCAAAGCCATTCCAGTCTCTGGCGTCCTGTTCCACCTCTTCTCCCATGTGGTGGTTGCGGTCACATTTTCCCCCCAGCCTAAAAGGCTCCTCCCACACTCCTTTGGCCATTCTGCCTTCACTCACCTGACCACCTGAGTTACTCGTTTTCTTGTTTACTGTCTCCCCTCCCCCACCACCCGTGAGTGGCAACACCAAGGGGCAGGGAGATTGGCCTGTTCCATTCTCTGCGCGCCTCCCCCCCCCTCCCCGCCCCACGTCCCTGGTAAATACTTGCAGACTAGATGGAAATGACGGCGGGGACAGAAGGTTCCTTGCAGGCTTATGGCCGAGGTCACTGGGCAGAAGGGGGCAGAGAAGAGGATGGAGCCCCTGCCCAGCTGAGGCACTTCCTGGGATGGGTCTGAGTGAGGAGGCGGGGCCCCCAGGGGTGTCTGGTGACAGCACCCCCTGCGCGTCCCCCTGCGTAGGCCATGACTGCTCTCTGCGCCTGTGGAGCCTGGACAACAAGACGTGCGTGCAGGAGATCACGGCCCACCGCAAGAAGCACGAGGAGGCCATCCACGCCGTCGCCTGCCACCCCAGCAAGGCCCTCATTGCCAGTGCTGGCGCCGATGCCCTGGCCAAGGTCTTCGTATGATGCCCGCCTGGCCCCGCCTTGGTCACCGAGCTGGCTGGGGAGCGGGGCTGGGCGGCTGGGACTGAGGTGAGAAGCTGGGTGGATGGGGGTCTTGACCTGGCAGGGCAGAAACACCTTGCTTCCCCTGCCCCCAGCGGAGGGTGCAACGTCCCATAGCACAGCTGCAGTTGGGGCACCCTGGGCTTTCAGAGGAGGAGACCTGGAGGGCCCCAGGCGCCACCTGACCCCTTGTACGTGGGGACCGGTTTGTGGAGGTGGTGGTCCAGCCTCCTTCCCTGTCACGCAGGTCGCTCCGCCTCTTCCTGCTGGCCTGGGGCCTGGTGGTGCTAAGAGTCCTTCCCCAAGAAGGCAGTTTGGGACGCAGCCTCCCCCAGGACGCACCCTCCAGGATGGCCCCTGGGAGAGTCCGCGCGGGACACCCGCTCCTGGTCTCTGAGCTGCCTTCCTGGGCCAGCACGTCAAGGCTGGGTGTCCTTAGGGGTCAGCTTTTCCAAGATGCCAGAAGGTGCCAGGCTCTCTGAGCTCTCCATCGTCCTGGACCGGGGTGGGAGCTGTGCTGGGAGGAACCCCAGCCACCATGCACGGGGACTGTGGGGAACCTTGGGCCAGTTGAACCACGGGCTGTCCTTGGTGGGGTGTGGGGCCTGATTCGCCCCAGAGGCACCTGTGGTCCACTGCTCTCCCCTCGAGTCCCTCTACACACTACCCAGCGCCTCCGGGCCAGTAACTGCCTGGGAAGCCGGCAGGGCCCCAGCTCCCGAGGCAGCCCTCCGTGGGCTTGCCCGATGGGAGAAATGGCCTTCTCTTGCTCCTCCCTGGGGCACGGAGGGTGGGGTGGCGTCCCCGGACCCTCCAGTACTCCCTGTATATCTGTATAAATAAATGGGATTTTAATGGAGCCCCGTCCCCCATGTTATCACTGTGTGATAGTCTGTCGGTCTCCTCTCCTGCCCTCCGCTCTCGCCCTCTATTTATTTCACTCTTTTCTGGGTTCCACCCTGTGCCCTCGGGCCCCCTTCCTGGTTCCTGTTTATAAGCCCCATTCCCTCTGCCCAGGACTCGTATGTGAAACTTGTCTCAATAAACCTTTGGAGTAAGATGGGTGCTGTGCTGACTATTGAGGGTACGTGGCACAGGGGAAGGAGTCCCCAGCTCTGCCTGGGTGGGTGGAGCTTGGGGAGAGGGGAGATGATGGGTTGGGGTTTTGTGGTAGGGCAAGGGGGGCCAGAGAGGGACCCAGACCTTGGGCGGGGCTGTGGGTGGAGGGACGGAAGTAGGGGCACAGGACCGCATCTCCCCAGGCCCCTCCTTCCAGTCCCTGAGCGGTACCTCCCCGGGGCTTGGGGAGCAGCCTAAGCACCCACCATCTGACCAGCAGATGGTGGGGGGGAGGAGCACCTAACCCCCCTCCCTGCCCCACTCACCTGGGCCCCGTGGAGCAGGAAGGGAGTGCTGGCCCTGCCTGTGCAGGACACGTCTGCCAGCTGAGAGGAGCTGCCAGGAGGAGGAGCGCAAGCAAGGAGCATTACCGCTGAACAAGAACCCCCTGCCATCCCCTGGGTCCTCACAACAGCCCCAAGTAACTGGGAGTGTCAAGCATGTGAGAGTCAGATGGGGGACAGGTTGGGTTGGCTCAAGGTCTCCTCCAGCAGATTCCAGTCCTATGCAACCCTCTTGCTTGCTATGAGGTGTCCACCACCACCTGGCGGCCACATGTCCTGCAGCCAGTCCTGACTGCTGCTGTACACGGGGCATGACGCCAGTGCCCACCTGGGTTGGCGAGGGCAGCACCCGAGCAGATAAAAACAGGAGGAAGGATACAGGGCTGAGCAGTGCCCAGGACAGTTTAGCATTTCACAGTGACCATCACCTGCCTATCTAGACAGAGCGTGCAGGTGGACAGATGGCCCTCAGGTGATGCTGCCAGGAGCCTGGCTATGGGCTCCTCTGACTCCCCCTCATCCCTCTGGGCTCAGAGCAGCTTCCCCAGGTGGTAGTTTGGGTTTTCTCTCCAGCCTCAGACTTCCTTCCCCAGCCCAGCCAGCCCCCGGATGTGGTGACAGAATCGCTACTGTACCAACCTCAGCTGTCCCCCAACAGCCCTTTACCAGGAAAGGGGGCTTATCTTGTGGCCCCCTTCGTCTCCCACAGCCAGCCCTGCCAATCTGAACCCTGGGCCGGTGGGTGGCCTGCACCTATTTGGATGCCTTTGGAACTCAGCCAGGCCTAGACCTCCCCACTACCACTCACTGGTGGCAGCAGCCAGCTTGGTGGTTTCGGGACAAGTGTTTTGTCATTCTGAGGGTGTGTCAGCTAAATGGTACCCACTCTTGTGTTACCAACTAGAAGAAATCAAATCTGGAAGTGCTCCTGGATTGGCAGGAAGAGGTGTTTTATGGCAAGTTTGCCACAGAGTGGGCCCTCAGTTGATACTGGCTGGAGGAAGGGCAATGAGCTTACCCATCTTGCACCCAGGTGCCTGGGGGACCACCCCTTATCTCTGCCAATGACCACGGCGGCCATCATTCACTGAGGCTTCCCATGCGTCTCGCCCCCTCCTAACTCCCATGCATCCCCACAAAGCCCTCTGGAGCCCATAGTAGGACGGCCCCAAATAACATGGAGAAACTGCGGCTGGGGGTGGGGTTGTGGGAGCCACCCACCCTACCTGACAGAGACACATGCACACTCCCCCCGAAGTCAGTTTTTCGCTGGTGGGAGCGAGCCTTCCTGGCCGGTAGTCACAGCCCCTCCAGCGCCCACCCCACGGTGCTTTGGCTCTCCACCCTCCCCAGGGCGGGACAGGGTGGGGAGCTGATGGGAGGAGACTACACCCCCCCCCCCCCCGCCCTCCCTGGGCCGGCTTCCCTGCGCGGGTCACCCAGCCGTGCCCCTTCGGTTCATTCCGCGCACCTTCCCCAAGGTCTTGAAGCCCCTCTGGAGCCTCCGTCTCCCCACCTGTGGGATGGCTGGGGTGCTCTGCAGCACCGCCTCCCCTGGATTAGGGGTGGCAGGGGCGGGTGCGACGCTCTGATAAAAAGAAGGCCGAGGCCGGAGGGCCAGTGGGACCCGACACCTGTGCCCCCTCTTCCCCTGCGGTGGGCGCCGGATGCAGGCCCGGCGCGTCGGGCCCCAGGCTCCTTAAAGGGCCAGGCGCGCCTCAGCCGGCCCCCGCGAACGGGGTGGGGGGGCTGTCGCGTCCCCCTCGCCCCAAGTCAGAGACACGTTCATTTCCAGATCTGGGTGTGTTACGGGAAACGCTCAGCGCCGCCCCCCATCTCCCCCCGACCCCCGGCCCGCGGCCCGGGCCCGCCCGCCCCTTCCGTCCCGGGCCCCGCGGCAGGCCCCGCCCCGTGACGTCACCGGGGCCGCCGCGGATTGGCCGGCTGCGCCGTCGCTCCCCACACTTCCTTCTGGGTCGCCGCCGCGGAGCTGAACTTTGGCGAGGAAAACAGAGCCGGCGGCGCGGGACGCCCGCTGCCCTCCCAGCCCCCACCTCCGCCGCGGACAACGCCCCCTTCCCCGCGGCTCCCGACGAGCCCTTCTCCAACTTCCGAGACCCGTGAGACTGTCTCCTTGGCACCCCGGCCCTCCGGGCCCCTCTACCCATCCCCGGGCCGATCGGATCCCCGGGATCCCCTCGATCCCGACTCTGAGACTTTGCGCTCCGCCCCCACGGTCTGGTGAGCCCCTCGGGTCCCCTTAATTAGGTTCTCTTCTTAGGGCCCGTGGGCCCGGCATCCCTGGGGCCCATTTCTCTCTGAGGGGCCTGGGAAGCCTGGGCTCTCCCGAGCCCTGTGACCCCCGACCGACTAGAGTTTCTTCTCCGAGTCCTTGGAATCTCGCAGTCGCTGGGTCCCCCAAGTCATCATCTTTCTCCTTTCTGATCGTCTTTTATCCTTTGTCTCCCCGAAATCTGACCCACTCTATTCCTTTTCTCTAATTTCCCAGGGCCGTGCTGACTTCTCCATCCCGGAGCGCCAACCACCCCAGCTCACAGATCCCTCGGATCCAGTGACCCCAGACTGCCCGCACTCCTCCAGCCTAATCCTGGGTGGGCGCCGGGTGGCCGGTCCCGGGCCTCCCCCCATGGCAACCACCCCCACCCACCCCGTGGGGCTCCCAGGCTCCCCGGGGCCAGGGTCTCCTCCACCATCGGGGGGCTTCGAGCTGCAGTCGCCGCCACCGCTGCCCCAGGTCCCGGTGCCAGGCCCTGGGGTCTCCTTCCACATCCAGATCGGGTTGACTCGGGAGTTCGTGCTGTTGCCCACCGCCTCGGAGTTGGCCCATGTGAAGCAACTGGCTTGCTCCATCGTGGACCAGAAGGTAAGGGCACCGGTTCCCATGCTCCCATCTTGGGGAGAGATCTGCAGGAATTATGTGCTGGCAAAGGAGGCCTGCTGCCTGGTGTACAGGAGGAGGAGGAAGGGAGGTCTAATAAACCTTGGGCATTGAGGGGTGGGGCTGGGGCAGACACCCCCTTATTGCTCCTTCGAGCAGCTGCCCTCTGAGGGACACCTGGCTAGAGATGGGGTGCCCCAAAGTCCTCCCCAAATTGCATGTCCTGCATGTTTTTGTTGTCTGCAGCTGGCAGGGAGGAGCCTGCCGGGTATAGAAGCCAGGAGGAAAGGGCAAGTGGGGGGATCAGATGTGGGGGAACCTCCCTGTCCAGGCCTAGCCCCAACCTTCCTTTGAGTAGAAACTAAAACTGGGTTGGCTGTGGCGATCGGGTGACATATGTGGGGGTGGGTGTCCCTGCCAGCCACCAAGGGCAGGTGAGGTCTCAGAGCCCCTTCTCTGCCCTCCTCCAGACCTGAGATGTGTGTGGAAGGGATGCCCCTCTTCCGTACCCCCAGCGGTGGCTCTGGGGACCTGTCCCCACTCCCCAGGTCCAATGCTGGCCCGTTAAAATGGGCCTTTCCCAGCCTTAGCTCTGGACACTGGGTCCTGGCCAGAGGGACCAGGTGGGATGGAAAGCGAGACCTGGAATCCTGGAATGTGAGAAATTGGAACAGTGGGCTTCTCTGCTGTTGGAATTCTAGACTGTCAGAATTTAGACTGCTAAGTGGTTGGATTATGCCGTGGTGTGGTCACTGCACTCTAGGGTTAAAGTGTTCAAACATTAGGGTCCCAGGTTGCGGCGATACCAAAACATTGAAATGTTGTTTTCGGGGTTGTTGGAATCCCCAGTGCTAGGATAGTTGGAATTTGGAATGCTGGGTGGTGGAAAGCCTGTAATGCTAAGATATTCAAATATTAAAATCCTGATGTGTCAGAGCCCTAGAACAGTAAAATCTAAGACCACTGCTACTCTAGGCGTGTTAGAATCCCCAAATATCCAACTTCCAGAATCTTCTCAGACTTCTGGGAATGAATTCTTGGGGCTTCAGAGAAACATCAGGAAACTGAAGTTTAGAGAAGGACCTAGGCAGTCCGCGGCTCCTGTCCCGGCAAGCAAGAACAGAAAGGGCTGTCTTTGTCCCTCCCCTAAACCCCTCAGACTAGCCACCCCAGCTCCCAGCCCCGGCTCGGTGAGCTCCTACGGGAAACCGCCCAGTGGGAGGGGCAGCCGCCTAGTGGGAGGGGCAGACGGTCGGTCCCCTGGGTGAAATTCTGAGAGCCTGAGTCTTCAGCCCACCCCCTCACACCTCACCGGTTTATTTTCTGCGCTCTCAGTCCAGGTGCGGTGGGACCTTGGGGCCCCCGTTCTTCCTTCCCGCTGCCCCACCTGGGCAGTTTCACTTTCTGTTCTATCAGGTTTCATTTCCTGCGCCCCCCCCCTCTCCCCGCCAAACTAAGGACTCGGCCACCTGGGTGGGCATTGGGTGGTGGGCACCCTCGTTACCTCCAGCTCCCTTAAACCGTAGCCTTCCCACACCCTCCCGCCCCTTCCCTTCGGCGGCACCCCCATCCGAAATCTTCCAGCTGGCCCCTCCCCAATGCCGGGCCTGGAGCCAGGTAACTGGGACAACAATAGATCCAGGAAGGAAGCTGGGTGTGTTTGGGGGGGTGACAGGGAAGGGGGGTGCTCACTCAGCCCCCCCATCTCCGGAAAATTCCAGGTCCACGCTCCTTCTCCCACCTCAGCTCGCCACCGCAGCCCCCAACTAAGCGGCCCGCGCTCCCTC